AGCAATAGCATGTTCATCATTTGTAAACAATTCTATTTCAAGCTCAGTCTTACAATGCTCAAAACCAAAAGTTCTTTTATCTACTTTAAATCTTTCTAATAATTCTACATAAGAGAACCATTGACAAGTGTATTCTTCTGCCACCAGATCTTCTCTTGATTTTATTTTATATGACAAAAATCTAATGTGTTACAATAAGTTAGCCATTTGTGTTTAGTTATCATTTTTCTTTTATAATATGCTTCTTGTGCTGAGAGCTACAAAGGTATTTTTGGGTACAACCTGGGTTTATATCTATTCCATATTGTCAGTATGGCACATCTAACAAAATGATTTTTAAAATCTATATTAACCTTAGCTTTGTTGTACCATAAATATCCATGCCACCAAAATCTCAAGTCATGTCCTTCTAGCTCCAAAAGCCTTCTGTTTCTCAGCAATCTCCACTCTTTCATCCAGACTAAACAAAAAGTTGCAAAATATAATTTTAAATCAGGTAAACCCAGTCTTCCTCTTTCAAACACAGCCATGATGTTGATAGCCTTTTTCTGCAGTTGTTCCCTTGCAGCCAGTATTTAAAGAATGCTGCTTGTGATTGTAGCGAATCCCACAATTTAACTCTGTCTTGTGTAAAGAACTAGTATTCCTTTTATTGCTGCCAAATCTTCCTAAGTTTAATTTCAATGGATGACTGAATTCTAACATTATGAGAAAGGGAGAAAAACTAGCCTCTATCTACATTTTCCATACCATACATAGATTTATGGAATGGGAAGGCACTGCCTTCAAGGCAAAGCTTCTGTTGGAAGTGGATAAACCTAATCTCACTTCTTGGTGATGTGGACCATATCATTTCACTCCGAGAGTTTCAGCCTTGTGAGGTAGTCCAGACAGGAAGCATGCCTGGATGAATTAATTCTACTTTATTATAAGGTTACATTAACAGAATCTTGCAAGTCTGAAAATACATTTTTCTCCCATCAACTTTACAGTCAAAGAAACTAGGGAAGGTCCCTTCTGAGAAGTTTGCCACGTTTCCATTCCTTTTGCAGGCTCAGCTGCCTCTTATCTGACCGTTCCCCTGGGTGTGGCTCTTCTCCCAGTCTCCCAAGGTCATTCCCACATACCATTGTGGCAAAGCATTGAGATGTTGCTGCCACTGTGCAAAGGGTGACATCAAGGCAGAGCATGCCTGTTTTACACATCTGTATGTGCTGTTTGGTTTTCAGTTCCCAATGAGTGACATTTGCCACTCATTTTTTAACAGCAGCTTCACAGACTGTTGATATTTTCATTGAGTTATTTGTCTGGACTCCAAGACCCCTTTCCTGATCCATCACCACCAGCTCAGACCCTATTAAAGCTTGGATTTTCTATATCCATCTGCACTGATTTGCTCTTGGATTCCATTTGCCGTTATGAGTTCAAAGTGCCATTCACCTAGTTTGCAACTGCTTTTAAATTTCACCTCCCTGAAGAGGTTTAGTGTTATTAGCAAACCTGACCATTTCACTGCCAAATCCTAACTCCAGACCCTTTATATAAGCTCCAAACATTGATTCCTGAAGAACTTACTTTGAATATTTCCCCAGTTTGAAAATGGTTAATTTATATTTTCTGCTCTTTAGCCCATCATCCCTAACTAGACATTTGCTGACACCCTCAACAAGATCTACAATGTCGATTAGACAAATCTTATGCTTACAGAAGCCATGTTGGTTCCTTATCTGCAAGGCATGTTCTTCTATACTTAGTTTGTTTAATGCTCTGTCTCTACCAGCTTATCCAGAACATACTAAGTTAAGTTAAATGACTGTAATTTCCTATATCTCTTTTTAGTCCTTCTTTTTTAAAAAAAATGGAGTTACATTTGGCAATTTGTCAGTCCTTGGGAAAAGATTCTGACCTCACATTTTTAATCAGAAGATTAGCAATATTTTAGTTCTTCAACAGCTCTGTGTTGGAGACCATCTGGATCCAGATATTTATTTATTTATTTATCATTTGTCAGTTAGGTTTTTAATTTCACCTATTGTTACCCCTCTTAGTTTCAATTTATCTATTTATTTCCTGAAAGACACAACTCAGACCTGGGCAACTGTCCTATGGCCTCACCAGTGACGTGAGAAGCAATGTATTGAGTTTCTCTGCAGACTCCATTTCTGTTTCCTCATTTAGTACACTTTCAATGTCTCTGTCTTTCAGTTAACCTAGTCTTTCTGGTTGTTTCCTGTTTCAAATATTTAAATGATGCTGTTTATCTTTTTCTTTGCTCTAATGTCTTCAATTTATTTTGCATCTTTTATTGTCAGTTCACATTTCTTTTGTCATAGTTTGCTTTTGTTCTTACTTGGGCAAGACACTTATTTTTTTGAAGAAAGTGTTTTTGCCTCTGATAGCATCTCAGACTTTGTTCATTGGCAACTGTGGCTTCTTCTGCTAAATTTATAATTTTGTAGTTTTGAATACTCTACTGCCCCCATCTTGCTGCCAGATATTGCTATCTCAGGGACTCCCACCCCCACCCTCCCAAGGCTGGACTTTGCATTTTTTTCTTAATGACTTATTGAAATAAGTACAATTGACTGGGACTATACAACATGGTAAGGTAGGAATCAAGATTAAAAAAAAAACTAAAAAAACTAAAAAAACCCACAACCCTATCCATATAGTTTATGCTTTACTACAACGTCGGAACCTAGTTAAAGTAAGGGTGGATTACTTTTTGTATTCAGTTATATGCTAAACTTAACTGTTTAGTTATATTATTAAAGGATGCCTAGTTATCCTGATCAAAAGAAACATGATACAATTTATGATGTATAATAGAAACTATGGAGATTGAGCCAATACAGAAAAGTAAGAAAGGCAGAATAGGTAATTTGAACAGAGAGATGAAGGAAAGAGGGAAAGAAATAATGAAAGCAGTGTGACTAAGGGGTTTGTCTGTAATGTAACTGAAGTAAAATATAAATTAAAAAAAAGATTAACCCATTTAAGGCTCTTTTTAAAAAGTTATTCTGAAAAATGTTTGAAAGACTAAATCCTTTGGGTATAATTTCCATGCTGTTTCTGGCTGGAATTTTGTTCAAGTCATAAAATTCCAAACTCTTTTAGAGGATGTGATCCCATAATTGCACTTTCAGTAATGGAGTCCCCTTGAAATTACTTGTCACATTTGTTTAGGATCATAGCCAATTTGTGTGTGGGGTGTGTGTGTGTGTTAATTTCCTAGCTGTAGACCACCTGTTCTGTGGAAACATTCATAATACACGATGTGAACTAATATGGTGCCTAAAAATTTGGGAGAAATAGAAACTTCTCAACTGTACAGCACAAGAGGTTCAACCGATAACTATTTCTCTTCATTAGACTGTGGTGACCTTGTCTGATGCCTCACTTATCTTTCCTGACCAGTTCCTCCAGAGAGATATTTCACAAGATGTTCCTTCTTCACTCTGCGGTAGCAGAAAATTTTCCTCTATCAGGTTGTTCTGTTTGTCCACAGAGCTTGGGGTGCATAGTTGTTTTGAGCTAAAGGGCTTTGGAGCACACTAAGGGCACTCTCACAAAATGTCTGGCATAGTTTTGGGAAAGGAAAAAAAAAACTAGTGAGATTCCTCTCCTAAATCCCCCTCCCTTCCCCCCCCC